AAAACATCTTACATCTTGCTCCACTAATAAGGGCCATAATCTCCCACTGTACTTAGTGATGCTTTAATGTGGTATGCTCCTTAGTACTTGTAATATGAAAGATTAGTGCTGATTAGCAGGAGCAGAAACACAGGTCGGTGAATGGCCAAGCCCAGGTCACTGAGGATGTCCTCATTAATGGAGAGACTGCTGATGGAAATCACATCGTAATGACATATATTGAGTCTGCTACTCTGTTGGTTTTCCCTCCTCATAACATCTACTGTAATAATGACAACTCACATTAATTTAAACATTAAATTAACTTTTAATAGCAAGGCAAGAAAATATGGAACTGTAAAAGAATTCTACGTGCCATGCAAAACCATCATCTAAAATAACCAAATTACTCTCATTCAATGCAAGACTGCAGATGGTAGATTACTTTAGACAATCCTCAGTGTCCTTTGAAGTCTCAAGCTTTTGCATCACAGCCTGATAAGGAAAGATCTTCCCCTCCCTTTTTCCCATGGAACTCAGTGGGCAGGACTCACACACAGTTCCAGGCTGCTACTCACATACTGACTGTCGGTTGGCTTCTCCGGTCACACAGTTAGGGACAGAACACTTTCTGTAGGTTCTGAGAGTAAACCAAGGTCTCCAATTGTTGGAACCGAGGGTTTTGCACAAGCTGAGCAAAATTCCCAGCCCAATTTCCAATTCTTTACCAAAGGAAATTCTGCCCAGACATTCATAATACTTTTCATCCTAGTTAATATGCTCCTTAAACCATTAAAACTTTATCATTCCAACAGGAACACAGAAACTTTTCTCCTATGCTCCAGACAGATCCTGGGCTCTATGCATGTGGATCCTAATTCCAAAATGAACTCAGTTCTTCATGCATGAAATAGGAAGATTAGTATTTATATTTTTTTACCTTCTTTCTATCCTTCTTTCACAAGGATCACAAACCAAGAAATTTCAGACTGCAAAGCTCTTCACAAATTTCTAAACTATAACCTTTCAAGTCAAAGATGAGGGCAAGCTGGGCAAGGGACAGCAAGAGCCCAATACCTCAGAGAGGGACTTACACATGAAGCTAAGTTTATGGCAGAGGAAAAATAAGAATTTCTTTCTCTGTGCTGGGGGAATAGTTCAGGGGTAGAGCATTTGCCTATCATATGTGAAGCACTGGGTCTGATCCCCAGCACAATAATAATAATAATAACAATAAATAACCAAAAGTATTTAGGTCTCTAGTTCAACCACAATGCCCTTTCCTTTACACCATTTTGATTCACAAGATCCATAAGAAACCTGTCACCATGGAGCTCCCAAACAGAAACACTTGCTTGTCCCAGATTGCTAAAATGCATGTTAATACTCTGTGATACCTTTTAAGTTTAACCACAACAAAATATCAGCTAGGTTCAATTGCAGAATTTACAATGATATTACCTCTCTAAAGAAAACCACACAAACAAATAAAAAAATCTTTGTTCAAAAAATAGGCTCTCCTATTCCCTCTGGGTCAACTGCTGCCTCTGGTTACAAGGCAGTAATTATCCTGTCCTACAGCAATCAATAAAACTCTTGCCCCATGAACCTGCTATTTCCTGACTTTGTTCTCTGTACTAAAGATTTCCAAGTCCTATTGATTACCTCCTAAATTTCTTTAAGTCCTCTAAAAAAAACAGCACTGACAAAGTGCTCAAGTTAACCTAACTTGATATTGTTTAAACAGACTTCAAATCTTTCAGTTGTATTAATGGTTTCCCTTTTCTCAGGTCTTTCTATTTTTCACTATGAACTAGTCATTTTTATGGGCACCTGTGTCTTCCCTAATGGCACAGAGTCTATTGGACACAAATCTGACAGTCTTCCTGAAACTGTGACTCCTGTCACATTTTTTTTCTAAGCAAAGGAGGATTGATTAATAAACTATGCCTGAGTTCTCAAGCAACACCATGAACTTTTGCCAAATGAACCCATCAGCTCTTAAGAGTGTTAATATCAGTCCTCCAGAACTCCCCACTAAAACTAGTCACCAGAGTGGCTATTATTAGGTGCAATCATCTTACATACTTCCTCAGGGCATGCAGCTATGCATTTGTCAACCTTTAAGAATGTGTTATGATTGGGATGATGGAAGCATCAGCAATCAGCGGTCAGGCTTGACTCTGAACACCCTCTGTGGTGCCCCTGGTCTCCTTTTCTCAGTGCTTCAAGTGTGTCTATATATCCCTCCAATGAATCCACATGTGCCTGTGGCTCCCAAGTGATGGGAGTTTACCTACATGGCAACTGTGTGCAGAGTTGGGAGAAGAGATTGTCTCTAATTCCCTGTAATTCTCTAACTAGAACTGATAATTTCCCAGGATCTCATCACTACAGTTCATCCATCAAGATAGATTTACTTTTGACTGATCAGTAATCACAGGAAAATTAAATAATTGAGTGTTACATGGCAACTTCTCACTTGGTGGCAGCTTTAATCCAAAGTCAGAGCTGAGAATACCACTTATGACCAATTAAAGCTGGGTGTGGGCCACATGAAGCAAGCATTCTGGGAAGATTGAGGGTGCTATTCAGCCCAAAACCATCTCCTCACTCTAGCATCTGCTCATACAGAATATGAATGAGAGTGAAGATAAAGCCTGACCCATTAGCAACCATTTTCCAGCACCCATCCGCAAGATACTCCGGGAGGGAGAGCTCAGGAATACAGGCTCAGAGAAAGGAAGCCATGAGCATGACTAACCCAAAACACAAAATGAAAGGTTAGGGGGAGTCCACACACTCCTGGTCCAAGTTACAACAATGATGCTTAGACTACTGCAGCATTCCAGCTTTCTTCAGCAGATCATTCAATTCCTCACTGATCCTTTAGCACAGGCAGTGTGTGTCTGCTCTGGGATACGTAGGAGTGTGAGCTCACAATTGGAGCTTATCCAATTGTCAAGGACTGCAAATCAAAAAGCTATGCAACAGGAAGGAAAGTTGCATCTAAAGTCCATCCTCTGATGAATGCAGAAACAAAATGTGATAGATCCATATAATGAATGGAGTATTATACAGACTTACAAAGAAAGGAAATCCTGAAGAAGCCACAAGTCACATGAGCCTTGATGCCGTACTATTAAGAGGAAGAAACCAAACAGTAAACAGTAATTACTATGTGATTCCATATGTATAGAAAGTCCAGAACAGGAAGGCCTACACAAACAAAGTGGATTAGGAGTTATGAGAAAGGGAAGAAGTAACTTTGGAGGTGATAAACTTTGGGAGTGAACATGCCAAAAACTATTAAACTGTATCCTTGAAAGCAATGAATTTCATGGTATGTGAATTGCATTCTAAAATTATACAAATCAGGTATGATGTTGCATGACTATAATCCCAAGTATTCTGAAGGTGGAGGCAGAAGGACCACAAATATGAGCCTAGTCTTGGTAACATAGCGAATCCATCTCAAAATAAAAAAGTTAACAGAGCTGGAGACGTAGCTCAATGGTAGAGAGTTGCCTAGCGTGTGCCATCCCAGTACCACACACATATACACAAAGTACAGCTGCAACATGGTCAACACTACAGCAATTGTCTACAGTCATATGAACACAGATGTAGTCTAATCAGGTGGTCTGGTAGAAGAAATGGATGAGCTGACAGCCAGGAAAGGAGGAAAAAGTGAGAGAAACAGTTCCTGGCACAGGACAGAGTAGATATAAAGATCCAAAACAGAAGACCTTTTTTCTCCTTCTTCTGAGACAAGGGTGAAGATGTCAGCTAAGGTGAAGGAAATATTCAATCATGACAAATGTCACATAAATGTAACTCTTATTAGACTCTAGCTATTTTTCTCCGAGTCCCTCCTTAGCAGGTTATCAGTTATGCATAACTGAAGGGTAGTATATAAAAACAAAAATAGACCATTACCCCCATTCATAAAAACCACACACCATAGCCTGAAAAAAGAAGGTAAGATGCAAATATTCCGAAAGGCCACAGCAGCTACTAATATCACGGTTACCTCTAAAACCATACAAGTCATTTCAAAAGGAAATGAGGTAGCTGAGTCCCAGGAGGACATAACGCGTACTTGCAAGAGAGCATCACAAGACTTCAGGTGTCACTGCTGTCAGGATCTCACAGCGAAACAGACAGAGTAAGATTCTAACAGTCAAATATTTGGCTGACCTTAGCTCTCACACTCACAGGACCAGACAAGTTTCTTCCAAGTCTCAATAATATGCAGCTCATTCACTCCAGGCACCATCTCCACTATCTCTACTGGCCGGTGGAATTCCCAGTTGCAGAGCCTCCACTGCATGGCAGACTTGGCAACAGGGTTAGTCTCCTCCCGCTGGATGTCAATAGCACCTCTCTCCCCAAAGCTCTAATCAAAAATGCTCTCAGACCTTGCTTGTTGTCCCCAGGGGTGCAGGACACAGGGGTACCACCCAGCACAGAACAATTGGCTTGTAGCAACCTGATTTTATCCTATTAAGCTTGAGCCACTGATATCCTATCTCCTCTTCTATTTAGGGTCCTAAATGCTTTATACCCTCAGTCTCCCCATAAGACAGATTAAACTTATCAGGGAAACTGTTAAAGGGGCTCTATGGTCCTACTCAAAATGTCAATTCTCTGAAACAGCAAAAAAAAAAAAAAGCAACACAATCAGTAAAGAGAAAACAAGACCTGAATCAAACCATCCCTTCAGCTACTTTTCTGGTCTCCAAAAGCAATCTGACAACTGAGATCTACAGTTTTCACCATGCAGAGGCCACAGGTGGCACAATGGTCAGGGCCAACTGTGATGTATAAATATACCATTTCTCCTCACCCCAGCACCTCCAGCAAATGACGTCCAAGAAGCAATTTTTGAGTTGGAAAAACCTGCACACTAAATCCCGACAGGATTTTCTATAAGGCTTCTCTCTGCTCTCACACTGACTACAGGCACTGAGAAGGATGCTCGCTTGTAAGCTGAATCCTCCCCCACTATGTAGGCTCACCATCTGGGGGCATCAACACCTTGTTGTTCTGTGTGCACCACCCTACGGGGTGCAGATCAGCAATGACCACGTCACACCAGAAGTCAGCCCTGCGGTCCTCCCCGTAACCACAGTAGCGAAGCAGCAGCAGTTGCCCACAGGTGGTGATGATCGTAGCCACCCAATATGTATCCGGATTGTTCTTGTTAGCCACCTCCAACTTCATTCCCGGCTGGAAGTTGCTCTGAAGGCTGATTTCAACCTTAAGGAATCAGAAAGATAGGAAGACCATTATTACACTAGACACATGAAAGACTGTAAGAACTGCTTAAAAATACAGCACTTTTTTGGTGCCCTGTATTTGTCTAGAAGAAATAAAATCTAAGTCACAATGTAAGGCTACAGCTTCTACAAGATTGAAAAAAAGATAAAATCAATTTTATAACATATTTCATTTCCAAAATATTATCACTGCAATGCATATCCATACAAAAAATGAAAATGAGAGTCTTCTTTCCAAAGTAAGTCTGATACTGTAATCCTCCATCTATATCAATATCAATTTGGGTTATAAGCTTTTCAAGTATTCAACATTTCCATGTGCTGGTAGCTACTGCACAGACAGTGCAAGCCTAGAGAACAGACTTTTCTTTTTCTCTTTTTTATTAGGAAGTATATGCCTTTCCCCTGCCCTTGCCCCGCAAAAGTTGTCCAGCCTGGTAGGTCCTAACATTCAAAAGCTGTTGTATCCACTAAAGGAAATGATGGAATCACAAGTCAACTACCCATGAGTCCCCTGCTAATTTTTCTTTAAATCTGACACCCAGGCCGGGGAAAGTCTACATTCTAGAGGACAAATGCAGAGCACTGCTCTGCCATTCAGGACACTAACTAACACTTGAAAGGGAAGTGGGAGAACTGATAAATCAGAGAAAACAACAAGTGACTTTGTACAGAATGAAACTGAAGACTTCTTCATAGAGGTAGGGAGGGCAAAGTTGTCGATCACTATCTCTTTCCCAAATATTCTTAAGGGAACTACGAATTCATCCCAGTATCTTAAATTGTATCTATTACCTGGCCTTTTGCAGGATCGTAGTCCATCTGTTTGCCAGGAAAGCTCTAATTCTGCTACATTTTAATATTCAGTTCTTTGTTCTACTAAATGGCCACAATCACATTCATACTAAATTATCATATGATGAGTACCAAAAGAAAAATGTGAATCCAATCCACTTTTATCAAGGCATGCAAATTCAAGGTCTTAAATTCCTTTTCAAAAAATATTTCACCCCCCAAAAAATCAAATGCCTTTTTAAAATAAAGTAAATTTTATAAAAGTTTTGGCCTTCTTACTCAGCCAAAGAACCAAAAGGAAAGTGAAGAAACTGACCAATTTACTTATGAAACTCAGGCTGAATCTTTGCCCTGAGTAAATCCATTGTGAGGGATTTTAACACTCACAATTTGACTGGAATTGCTTGTTTGTTGTCCCCAAATTTTAGCTGATTACAACAACAGTCCACATCTAATAGCTCAGTCTTGAAAATGTATTATTTTCCTTCCTAACGATGTCAACAATAACTCACACCTAAGCAAAAGTCTTGTAAAAACTCAGTTTTAAAATTTTATGGAACTTGTCCTGTGGTGAGCTTTCTACTTGCATTATCAAAGAAATATTATTGATGAGAATGATTTTTGTTAGATCTAAATGTTTTCAGAGTATTTCATTTGATACATAAATTGCTGTGAAAATTTAATGCATCCTTTCAAAATATCAGTTCATAATAAAACTATACTATATAGCTATTAACCTGCTAAGACATTGAGTGTTGTGTGTTCTTGTCTGGTTTTCTGGCTTTTTGCTTACTGGAGTGAGCCTTACCTGTTTATCTGCAGCTATGAAAATCAAACTAATTTCCACACCTCTTTATTCCTAGGAAATCTGGTAGAATTTCCTCTTTTCTTTGCATTCCTTTCTTTCCAGTGCACATTCCCTCCACTTCCACCCACAGAGCAAATGAAATGAGCTGCTTTACTTACATGTTTGAAGGATGTATGAGGGGCAGCCCTAGCACCTGTCTCTTCCAAATAATCTCCCCAGTTAAAACCAGTTTCTTCCAAGCTGGAGCCTTCTTCTGTTGGGGGAGAAAAAAGAGAATATCAGTACTAGGGTAAAGAGTCAAAAGCCGCTGGCTTCAACTAGGACCAGAAAATCCTTCATAAAAGAGACACACTAATTCAGTGGTTTAGTTTGATACTGCTCAATTCTCTGTAGGGCTTCAGTTTACCTATTGTAGAGATGCCGGCAGAAGAAACAACAGCAAAATCCTGCGTGGCCCCTCTGAAAAAACCAAGAGTAAAATTTGTGTTCTCATGCAAATGAATGGAAATCCTTTCTGGACTGATTTGTTGAGAACAGTGTATTAGCCACAGCAGACACTCCAGCCTTTGGGGAAGAGAGCCTTCCAGCACTCAGCCTACACCTCATTGTACACAGGCACTACTGGCTACCTACTGTGGCTGGAGATTATAGAAGAATATCCTCCATTGTTAGTGTCACAAGGGACTTTAGATAACAATGACTTCGATGACATTTTAAGGGAGGGCGGGATGAAACTGCAAAAGGAGTTTTTCAGCATCTGGCAAGCCGGTGACAGAAACAGACCAGCTGCCAGGGACACCCTCGTACTCCCTTTTCTAGCTGAGATACAGCCCTCCTACAGCCCTCAGGGCCACTCAGGCAGCAGGATCTATCTCTCCAATCACCAGGAACAAGGAGATCCACAATCCAATGTACACCTTGACTCTGAAAATCACACCTGCTTTAAATTTGCACACATCCTCATTCCCAGGTTCAAAAGGAGATCATAAATTCCCAAAATATGTAGTCCTTGGAGCATAAAACTAATTTTATCATCAAGGACCCACATTTATTGTTTAGACTATTTCTACTGAATTATACATTTGAATTTTGTGACGTTTATTAAACAATGAGTACTTAACAGTAAAAAAAAAATCACAAAATATTTGAGTTTTTAATATTTATAAAATTTTATAAGTATTATAAAAAAGCATCAGAATTTTTAACATTGGTTTTTGCTGTGCAAAGTATAAAAAAAACATTAGAAATAAATTCCCTTATAAACTACAATGAAAATACTAGTTGCACTCTACGAAAAAAGAATCTTTACTTCAATTATCACATTGAAAGCGGTCTGCACATATGACAACAGCACCCTGCATATATACATGGCTTACACTGACAGCACATGTCTTTCCTGGCCTTTTTATAGGACACATTTGACATCTCAGTTGTCTTGCTATTTTTTCAGGAAGTTCTCATAATAATATACAGTGTGTCATTAATAGAAACATAAAATGTCAAAAAAATAAATTACTAAATTCTTAATATATATTGTGCATTTCGAATAGACATCAACATTTTCACATCAGCTGTATACTTTCTTACAAAACCAAAATATAACATCGTAAATAAATTCCTATATGAACTACAACAAAAATGCCAACAGAACTCTACCACAAAAATAAGCTTTGCTTCAGCTGCCACACTCAAGGTAGTCTTCACACAACCACTGTATGTTCCAGCACACGTCTTGCTTACACTGCCGGCACATGTGCTAGCACTTTCTTTCCTATGTGGCAGGCTTGCCACCTCTCTTCTCGTCCTGTTTCATCAGGAGCTCTACTATACTGTACAAGATGCACTTAGCAGGGAAATAAAATGACAATAAAATGCAATATCAAATATGTAATGAGTGCTTAGAATAGACATCAACATTTTCACATCCACTTGCTTACGAAATCTAAAAGATAACATCAAAAATAAAAGGCTATATGAACTACAGTTAAACTCAAAGTAAGTCTACCATAGAAATAAGCTTTGCTTCAACTGTCACACCCAAGGCAGTCTTTACATGTGACAACTTCATATTCTATATGCAGGTATCACTTACCCTGATAGCACATGTTTTGTTTTCCTGTACTTTCTTACAGAGCACAGTTGACATCTATTTTGTTTTCCTGTTGTCTTAGTAGGTCTTTGCAATGCTGCATCTGCCTTTTTACCTGTCAGGTCACCATGTGTTCCACAATTTGTTTGGCATGGTTCCCTAGGCATTTTAATTTTCCTCTGCTGTAAATGATCTCTTATAAGCTCCAGTTCCAATCCTCTAGGAAAACTTTTATGTGATTCTGCACTTGTTATTTTCTTTGTAGACTATCAAACTATTTGTGTCACGTGTTTAGGAGCAAGTCAAATACAACCATTGACCAACACTTTGTTCTTCAAGTGCCATGATAACTGCTGAAAAACATCTGCTCCACCTTAGGTTTTGTTGTTGAAAGTTTCCATTGCAGGTTTCCATCTTGTCGAGGTTTCCCTATCAATATTTCCATCATGGCGAAATGTTGACATCAGCAGTACCAGTTTGCTTTTCTTTGCCATACAGGAGGCCAAAACAGATCTACACAATTCTCTGTTTCTTCTTTGTTCTGTGTATAGTTCCTGTACTGGTCAACTTGTACTCTGTTACCAAAGGTAACATCAATTGGAAATCAGTAAACCAATTGTCAAATGTCACATTCCACTTAGTTTTGGTGGATGGGAGTAGTAAGTTTGTACACAGAATCATTCTGTGTACTACTATATATAAGGACCTGATGGCTGAGTTCTAGGATAAATTTCTAAACTGAAAGCCTGTCTTCACATCTACAAGGGCATAAACTTTTATGCCATATTTGGACCCATCACTTTTCCCTAAGTCCCTGCAAATGCCATAAGAAATCTGCTAAGTATAGCAGATCTATGAATGCTTTCAGTTTAGCTAGAGAGGTGTCAAAATAAACACATTTTTTACTATGGCTATTGGTGCAAACAGAGTGTTTTATTTGCATTTCAGCCTTTGTGTATTTCACAGTATCTTGTAACATTTCGTCTGTTACATTTTCCAACACTGAATGGCAGTACAGGCATTCTGTCCAATGCATTTCACCTCTGCCAAGACTTCCACTATATGTTTGGACCTAGTTCTGCCACTGGATTTTTCTATTCGGTTGTATGGCTATTTCATGACAAGTATGTACTCATTCATATTTGCTGGGCTTTTTCACCATCTGCATCAAGGAAGTTTGCATTCCCTGTGTCTAAATCAATTGATTCTTGCTCCATTTCACTGTCATGGGAACTCTGGCTCACGAAGCCAACATCATCATCATCATCATCCACCCCATACCACTCGTCTGTTGTGAAAGTACGTATTTTATCAAAATGGATCATCTCCGTCATCCATGCTTGAGTAATCTGATGATTCATTTTTGATCTCCTAAAAAACTTGCAAATCTGTTTTTCATGTACCATTATACTGAATTGGGCTAATTCTACCATAAAAATCAAAAGAAAACTTTTTAAAAAATAAATCCTGGGTCTCCTAGACCCTCTGTGATGCTCAAGTAAACATATACAAAAACAAGTTAGACCATAAAGGTGTGTTCAAATCCCATTTTACCACTTTTGCATATATGCACACTCCTTGCCACTCATCATATCAAGTGGATGAATATACAGATTGCTTACTGTACACCTCAAGAAAAGGTACTAAGAAGCACAACTGACTACAATAATGCTAATGTATAAATTTACAGTAGAAAAGCAAGGAATGTGTTCACTGGACCCAAGTTTATGCCCCGAGGAATGGGATGTGCCTGACATATCACTTGTATTACTAAAAAACATCAAAAGGTGCACATACAATATAGATATGTTATGTCTCAAATAGAAAGAGGTAAGAAGCTCTCCACAGCATGTTAACCTATTTGCAAGGCTATAGTAATGAAAGAAACTCCATCAGGAAGAGCCATCCAAATACACTACTGAGAGCTCCAAAAGTTTAGATGCTCTTCTCCTGCAAGAATGTTCCAAGGACGCCGACTTTCAACTCATGTATCTTTTGCAAGTAAGAGCCTATTTCACCAGGTAAGAGGAAATGTATGTGATTAATTTAGAAGAGTCATGTCCCATCAGATGGGCCAGGGGAACTAGGGATGGGAGAGTCTTTGGAGGCTATCATTTTTGCCTACTAGGATTTTTCACTTAAAGTAGGAAAAGTAGTTCCCTCATTATATTCTATATAGTCCTAGAATTTGACAGAAGAGGATAATTTTTATAGAATCAGAAGATACTAAGCTGAAAGGTAGCAAGCTTAAATGCTGCCTTCTAAATCAAAGTTCCATGGAACTGCTTCTCAAATTTTACTCCAGTACAGTGACTTAGAATCAAATCTCCAAAGGGAGAAGAAATAAAACATCTGAAGGGAAAGCCTTTCTTTTGTTTCTCTCCCAACATTCTGTTTTCTCCAGGGCTCTTCACAAAGAAATGTGCTCTCCTCCTCAAAAAAAGAAATTTAACAAATCCAGAGTTCCCAGTTATGAAGCAGTGAAGCCAGGAGCTTTACAGCTGCTAAGCCACAGTAAAGTAACTCAAAGCAAACAGATTTTTACTCTGGAGAAGACCTCGTGCGACACCCAAAACAGTACTTATAATACCTTCTCCTCACACAGCACTGGATACCTACTAGCAAGTTTGCTTTCTACTTAACAAGTCAGAGGCAGTAACTCAGCCCTGGGCATTTACCAAAATGTTCTGGTGCAGTGTCTGAGGGATGCAAATTGTCACAAAGCCCAAAAGTTCTCATCACCCCATTTCTGGCTTCCACCTGCACTCTGTCCTCTTGTAGTCCCTGCCAAGCTGTTACCATATGCCACCAGAGGAACTTCCCAGTAAATGTCCTAAGAGCTCATTGTTTTTGGGTATCCACTATTTGCTAAGTGCTCCAGAGATACTTCCTTCCAACAACCCTGAGACTCACAGAAAGAAACCTTGAGCGGAGCTCTGGTTAGAGAATCACTCAGTCATAGAGGTTTCTTCTCAGAATCAGGGCTTCAAGACTGGCTATGTGATTGGGAAGCTGGAACTCTTACCAGATTTCTTATTCTGGCTGCATCATGCACCAGAAGCCTCCTCCTTTCTCCACTACAGTTTCTAAGGGAGTTGCTGAGGCTGTCTGGTCCTTCTGTTTAGAAGATGTGAGCATGAAGCTCATTTCCTGGGCAGTCACCA